GCCCTGGCCCCGCCCTCCCCGGCTCTGGCCCCGCCCACCTGACCCCACGCCGGCCCCAGCCCTCACCATCTTGTTCACGATGACGATCTTGGGCCCCAGCTGCTTATTGACTGTGAAGATGTGCAGCAGGCGCAGCGTGAAGACCATGAAGTCCAGGCAGAGGACGGTGCGGCCCAGGTCATACAGCCCCGGGGTCAGCCTGGGTGTGCGAGATGAGGCAGGGGTCACTCACGGGTCACAGGGCGCATAGGAAACCTGCGTCTTCCCCGCACCTGGCTGCCCATGAGGCTGTGGCCTCCCCCGGGGTGTGGTGGGGGTGGGGGGGTCCCGACCGTCCATTCACCCGGGTGCACGCAGACCTCACAGTGCCAGCTGGGCCGGGCCAGCACTGGCACCCACTAAATACCAGCCGCCCGAAGCACACCCTAACAAAAACCTAGGAGGTCCCCCCCTATAACATCAAGTTCAAGACGTGACAACCGACGGCAGTATGGGGTCGTGGACTGGCTGCCGGACCAGAAAAGGATATCAGTGGGACAGCTGGGGAGTTTGAGTAAGATTTCGGGTCTCGATAGGTAAGATGTTAACATTTGGAGGATCCGGAGGAAAGGTGTATGGCCATTCTCTGCCCTGTGTTTGCAATGTTTTTTGTTAGTCTTGGGGTATTTCAAAGGAAAGGTTACAGACTAAAAGAATGCTTAAGGTAGCAACGTAAAAAGACAAGCTTCAGAGTTTGAGAAGATATATAGGACAAAACCACCAAGGATTAGGATCCAGATATATATATATATGAGATCAATGAACATGAAAATTTTTAAGTGGAAGCAAAGGATATGAAAAGACAATTGAGCCCTGGCCTGTTTGCTCAATGGTTAGAGCGTCGATCCTTGGACCCAAGGGCCACAAGTTTGATTCCTGGTCAAGGGCACATACCTTGGTTGCAAGTTCCCCAGTCCCAGTAGCAACCAATCAATGTGTCAATGTGTCTCTCACGTCCATGTTTCTCTCTCTCTCTCTCTCTCCCCTTCTCCCTCCCTTTCATCTCTCTATAAATCATTGGAAAAAATATCCTCGGGTGTGAATTTAAAAAAAAGAAAAAGATAATTGACAGAAGTCCATGTGACCATTGGTTATGAAAAGATGCCCAACTTAACTAGTAGTCAAGGATGCATAAATATGAAAAAGAGAGGTCATTTTTGGCAAAAAAAAAAAAAAAAAAAAAAAAAAAAAAGGGAGGTCATTTTTGGCAAAAAAAAAAGTAGAAAGTTAAGCTAAATTGAGAGCTACAAAATTTTAAAGATTGAAAATACTAGATTTTGCCAAGCATGTCCTTAAGAGGGCACTTTCTTACCCTGACGGTGGGTGAAATCTATCCATCTCAAGAATAAGTTCACTTCAACCTACAACATTTAAATCTCCCATGTAAGCTTGTATTACTTTGGAATAACAAAAAATTACAAACAACCAAAATGTCCATCTGGAAGGGATTGCTAAAACAAAACAATTCATCCATGCAGTTCTGGAATTCATTGGAAATTTCTCCATGGTAAGCTGAGATCTTGGAATTTTTTTTTTTTTCTCCACGCAATACTTCTCCTCTGCCCTACAAAACGCTAAGCTTGACAAAATGTCTAAAATACGCTGGTACCTCTAGAGCAGCGGTTCTCAACCTGGGGGTCGAACGACCCTTTCACAGGAGTCGCCTAAGACCATCGGAAAACACATAGATAATGACATATTGTTTTTGTGATTAGTCACTATGCTTTCATTATGTTCAATTTGTAACAATGAAAAGACATCCTGCATATCAGATATTTACATGACGATTCATAACAGTAGCAACATGACAGTGATGAAGTAGCAACAAAAATAATTTATGGTTGGGGGTCACCACAACATGAGGAGCTGTATTAAAGGGTCGCGGCATTAGGAAGGTTGAGAACCGCTGCCCTAGAGCCTGGGCAAACAAGGCCTTCCCCCTTTCATCTAAGGAGATATTTTATACAAAAATACAAGAGATAAACGCAAGCTCGGGGTCCTGCCAAACTCTCTGGCATTGCTGTTGGAATAAGGTGATCACATCGTCTTCATGGGTAGCGTTTCTAACACAGCATAGAAGGGGCATTCCTCCCAGTGAATCCGCTGAGAAGAGACGAGGGTGTATCCCCTGTAAATAGTCACCAGACTGTGTCCACAAAGCTCTTTGTCTGTTCTCAAAAGGAGCGGTGTCCTCACAGCGAGGACTTTGTAATAAAAGAAACACGATCAGCAGAGGACTGGCCCCAGAGCAGCTAATACGTGATGACGATCTGGAGCAGAAAATGAAAGAGACTTTGTGGAGACGCTTCGGGCCTGATTTCTATCTCTTCAAGTGCGGAATTTCTGTCTCCGCGCCTTAGGAGAAGAACGCGTCCACTCGTTACATTCTGGCCAGGAGGAGCCCGTCTTGCCTGATCTGTAGCCATCGGTTCCCTTCGTCTGGAACCCGATGCAGCGTATTTTCAAAGAAACCCGCATATTTGCAAACACTGACATGGGAGAAAAGTCAGGACATGTTCTAGGGGAACAGGAAAAGGTGCAGAAGGATACACAAATACAGTGTCGTCTGTGTAGCAAAGAAGAATCGGCGTCTCTCCATGTAAATCAGCGGTTCTCAACCTGTGGGTCGCGACCCCTTTGGCGGTCGAACGACCCTTTCACGGGGGTCGCCTAAGACCATCCTGCCTATCAGATATTGACATGACGATTCATCACAATAGCAACATGACAGTGATGAAGTAGCAACGGAAATAATGTTATGGTTGGGTCACAGCATGAGGAACGGTATTGAAAGGGCCAGAAGGTTGAGAACCGCCAATGTCAATGCGTAGAGAAAGAACAGGCAGGGTGTGCACCCAACTGTCGAGGGCAGTCACTGCTGAGAAAGTGAGACACTTGAAAAGACTAAGAAAATCGTTGGTTCCTGTTCTATTCCTTCACTTGCTTCATCTTGCTCAGTGAGGACAGATTTTTGCATTTCTTTGGCAATAGACTACATTTCAAAGATCTTTTCAATTGAGATAGAATGACTCAAGGAGAGAGAGAGAGAGAGCGCAGGCCATACTCTAAGTACCATTTGGGGTGATCTCAGGACATTAGGGGAGCACAACGGAGGGACCCAGAGTCTGGGTGGGAAAAGGAAGGCTTTAAAGACAGCGGCTGCAAGCCTGAGGCCGACAGGAATGCAGGAGTCCGCGTGGCCAAGGAGAGGAGGGGACAGTGTTTCAGGAAGGGGGGACCCGTGGGTGCCAAGACCCAAAGACAAGACAATGCGTTCCCGAGGAGTTCAGGTGTGCCCTTTGTGCCACCCTCTGGGCACCACACAGCATGATCTGGGAACTATGGCAGAAAGGAACCGACCTTGTGTCGCCCATTCTTGGCAACAGAAAGTAATTGAGGGGGAAATTCTTCAAAATCCGTTTTTTATACATCAGCTAAGACATGGCGGAAACGGTCAGCATTTTTGTGGCCTAAATCACGGACACAACATTCAGGCCTCCCTGATGAAATCCGCACCGATGACATTTCACCCGGGAAAAGTACCATTCGCCAACACAGACCCGAAACTTGGCAAGATCCAATCCAGACAAAAAAACGCCAATGATGAACCGATGTTGGTGTAAAACTCAGCCCAAATGCTAGGTGACCGTGCGGAGATCATGTCAGAAACTGAGAATAACTGCAGCTAGTTTCATTGCCCTGCACATAAAACTGATCAAGGCAGTTTCAAAGTACTTCCTTGGTAAGAATCCGTCAGCTCCGGTGAAATCCTGATTATAAATCTATAATTACGCAGACTCAAAATATCAAGGTCAAGGTCACAGCCCCTGGACCTGGGATGCAGGAAATGGGAGGTTTCAGAGAAGCTGGGGTGCAGATGAAGAGAAACAAAGAAATCGGGAGACAGCGCTGCAGAGAGGGGGCGGCCTAGACGGGTGGGGCCCCAATGCCAGGTAGGGCTGGAGGGAAGAGCCGGAGTCCAGGAGGCTGGGGTGAGGGTCCAGGCAAGATAGGCAGCCATGGAGATGGAGAGGGGGGACAGAGAAAGGCAGGGGCCAGGAGGCCAGGGCCTGGGCTGTGGAGGAAGAGGAAAGAGGTGAGGGTGGTGCCAATGCCGGGCCAGGCCTGGGGGCTCAGAGAAACCTCCGGTGAGCTCCAGATCGAGCATAAATAGCGGGTTCTCCCTTTAGTCGTCTCATCCCTGAAGCAGCTATTCCTGAGGAATCAAATCGTTTCTAGATGTTTACGCAGTACGTTCCATCAAGAATGGGTTTCTGTTTGTTTTTTAAGAATAATCGGAGATAGGTCCTGGCCGGGTAGCTCAGTGGGTTAGATACACCAACGTTTCAGGTCCTATCCCCCGTCAGGGCATTAGAAGAAGCAACCAATGAATGCATAGATAATTGGAACAAGAGCCCTAGCTGGTCTGGCTCAGTGGATAGAACATTGGCCTGCGGACTGAAGGGTCCCGGGTTCAATTCCAGCCAAGGGCACATGCCTGGGTTGTGGGCTCGATCCCCAGTAGGGGGCGTGCAGGCGGCAGCCGATCAATGATTCTCTCTCATCATTGATGTTTCTCTCTCTCTCCCCTCTCCCTTCCTCTCTGAAAAAAATTGTGAAAACTAAGTAGCAATATGGAAAACCGTTTACCACATTACAATTGTTTTTCAAAGCTGAATGCAAAATTGGAATTTTACAACTATGTGAAAATGTTTTATGCATGCAGACAAGTACCAGATGGGAATGAGACAAAATAAATGA